TAACAGCTTCCTGTCATCCCTTACACAGCAACACTCAGGCTGGAAGAGGAAGGGGCAGGCAATCAGGCTTTGCTGCATGCAAATGCACTGACAAAGAACACGGTGAGAGGAGGAGAGTGCAGAGTGAGCAGACCCATCAGTGTGCTGCTCCTTTGGTGTGCAGTCAACAGAAAGAAAGTGGTGTCACCATGATGGTTACAATAACTAGCAATTTTGGAATGACATCGTGCTGTAACAGAAGCTCTCAACTTCACTCATTGAGACCTTGGCAACATTTGCCTGTTCTGCTTTTTTGAATGCTAGACCATGGGAGGCAGAGGAGACTGCAACATTTGCCCTGTTCTGCTTTTTTTTTTCGCTTAGAGCAGGGGTGCCAAGTTCAATCTTACTGCATGCCACATCAGCAATATGGTTGCCCTCAAAGGGCTGGTTGTAGCTGTAAGACTAGATGTTCAATGCACCACACCCCCTCCTTACATCAGATGTCAAGACCATCAAAAGTCAAGAGTCCACCTCCCTCCCTTACATCACAGTGCACCCCCGTGCCTTGTGCTGCTGCTGCTGCTGGGAAGAACCTGGGGCGGAACTGGGAAGCAGAGAGTGCAGGGTCTGGAGGAGGACCAGAGGAGGGCTGGAGTCAACTGCTGGACTCTGCTGAATGCTAAGACCAGGGGAGGCAGAGACAAGGGGGTGCTGCAGCTGCACAGAGAGGTGTAGGATCTGTAGGATGAGTTCTGTCCCCCCCTGCTGCTGTCTGCTGATACTGAGGGAAGGTAGAGAGGAGTCTCTCCGTGGCTGTATGGAGAAGCACATGATCTGGCAAAGGAGTTCTGTCCTCTTCTCTGATGCCAACTGCTGAGACAAGGTGGGGGTGGAGACAGGGGAGCAGTGGCATCCCTAGGAGGTGCGGGGGGTGCGGACCCTACTGGGTGACACCATCACAGGGGATGCAGGATGCCAGCAGAGCTTCTGGGCTCTGTGAAGGTCCTGGCCAGTTATTGGGTGATCCCGGGTTCAACCTATATGGGGTTAACTGATCTTGCAACCCATAGTGATCCACGGGATCAGCTACAGCGGTTTGCAGCCTGTAAGGTGTTAACTGTGGCAGCTCTGTGCTAAAGTCGGAGATCGGCTTCTTCGGCCTGAAACCGGCACATGCGCAGTTGCTTCAGGGTATACATATCTTCACGGGACACTCGTTTTACTGCTACACCTTCACCGCTCCTTCCTCTCTGGAGGGGTGACACCAACCCTAGGGGGACCTCTGCAGGGGAGAGCTGAGAGGGCCACATGATTCGGCCCACAGGCCTTGCGTTTGATACATGTGACTTAGAGGATTTATTTATTATAGTTTAGTGTATTTTATTTGGTGATAGTTGTATTTAAACTGTTTCCCTTGTTTTTTTGTTTTTTTTTTTTTTATGTTGCATATGACTATTGTTTTTGTGCTGTCATGGTTTTTTTTTTTTTTTTTTTTTTTGCTGTCTGATGCTAAGATGTTACCAAGGGCCCATTGACACAACAACAGGTCTAGGGTAATTGAAAGCAGGCTCCACAATCTCAGGAGCTATACAATGAACATTTCAGCCTTTAATTGTACCTCGCCCATTGACCTGATTCACTTTGACTTCAGATTATAATAACATCTCTCATTTAAGGTTTAAATTTGGCAAAATGAAAATCCCCAATTTCATTTATCTCTAAGGCTGACGGATAGATGTATATGAATCCCAATAGTATCCTTTAGTAGATCTGAAAGTTCACATATATGTATTTAAACTGTGTAGGTAGCTATTTGCTTGGAGTTCAGCTTTAAACACTCCCTGTTCTCTATCACACTGACTACTAATGACTCTCAAGGAACTCATATCAGAGGTAAAGTCATAACGAGAGATGCAGAGAGTAAGAATAAAATATTTAATGTTACATCTCTGCACAAAAATCAATGTTAATCAATCTAAACAATTCACAACCTAAGCAATAATCTGAAGGTGTACCTGCACTTAACGAAGCAATACAAATCGGAGCTCAGGAAATACTAGATGCCTGCACATGGCTTCTTCTACTGCTCAGCTCCCAAATGTCCCTTTTTGGAACCAAATCCCTCTCTACCTCTTCCTACTTGATTTTCTTGATCTATTCCATCATATACGTAGACTTTTTAAAAAACTAAGCTATTATTGTGATATTAAAAGTGTTTTCACCCAGCCTCTATGTTACTGCATTTGTTATGCTCCAGAAATTGCAATTATTAAAGCATACTTGCATAAAAATTTTAAAAATGGGGCCAAAAAGTACACTTACAAGAAAACAAATATACTTACCTCTGACCCAACCTTCTGCTCAATCACTGTCTGGGGGACAGGTAGCTACATTGCTTAAAGTGGTCCTAAGTCCTCATGCACACGGGATGTTTTTACAGCGGCTGTTTTTGGCTTTTGACATTTTTTTTCTACAGCCAGTAAACCCCCCAGCTTGTTTTCCTTTGTGTCCATGCACACATAAACTGTAATCAACGTTTTATGGCTGGGATGTGAAAGAAGACCGAGGGCTGGGCCCACAGATTCAGAGGGAACACAATGCCACACAGACACAGACAGTGGTTCTTTTAAAACAATTACGTTTACTGAACACTTATAGTGATCATGTAGTTGAGCATACGTAAACAGAATGATAACAGTGCATAACCATACAGTAAGAATAATACTGTCTAACACTAACCCCGTACTTGCGGACTTTCCCCAATGTCCAGAAAGCAGCCTGGCTGTGCCTGAATGTTCCTGAGCAAGATATAACGTTGGGGTGCACCCTAAGTAATGCGCAATACTATTTGTAATCCAAAGGAAAGTGGAGTGTGTCTCTTGTAACTTTCTGGTATATCCAAAATGTCACTGACCACGTGTGGTGCGATGTGCTGCGGCAAAGCCACACTTACAGTTCCCTGGCAGGCTCTTGGTGCTTTTCCCTGATCCACTCCCGAACCGGACCATACAGTCACTTGTTTCCTGGTCTCGTTGTGAATCTTCCCTAGGTGCCGTCGCCAGATTCCACTGTGAGCCGTAAATCCTCTTCCAGGCCCCACACAGATTCTCCTGACGTCCTCAACATCCATCAGCCAGACCCAGCCTTCACTTCCTCCTCAGTGCAGGAACTCCTCCCCTTCCCAGAGGGTTTGTGATGCAGTAAATAATTTCCTAATTGCAGCCTCAAACCTGTATTTACAGTTCACTATGACCCTTCTGAGGGTCCTACTCAACCCCTAAATTAGCATTCATTAAACTTTGTAAGGTAAATAAGTATTGGTTCTGTCTTAGCAAACATCTCTACAAACTTGATTCTCATACTTTGCTGCCATCTACTGACCAAAGAGCATATTACAGGCACATTATAGTTTAACATTGGACATCAGCATTTATCCATGCGTCACACCCTTACAGATGTTTTTTGGCTGGAAAAAAAATCCAGGACTAGTGGGTTTCTAGAGGAGTTTTTAGCTGTAAAAAAGCTCTAATGCTAAAAAACGCGGCAAAGTGCGGTAAAACACCACAAACCAGTGTTTTTGACCCCCCAATTTTTTTTTGTTCATAAACAAAATGCAAACGTGGAAAAACGCCGCTAAATGCGGTAAAAATTATGGACAGTCCCAAGGCACCCCATTCTAAAATGTGAAAACTATTAAAACTATCTAATAGTTTTATATAATGCAGCAACATCCACACATGTAGGACAACCAATGATGGACGTGATTTATTCTTCCAAAGCAAATACACTTTTGCACACTGGTACTGCTTAGTATTCCAATGTTACTCCTCTCCCTCCGTTTTTCTCCATCACTGAGCTAATGTGACCCCAGCACTGATGGAGAGGGGCAGGGGAGGGGCAAACTAGGATGCTGTGCAGGCAGCCGACATCCTCCTTATCAACGGATGATGTCATTGGTTGTCAGGACGCTGGCAGCTAGAAGGTCATAATGGTGCACAATGAAAACATGTGACGTTGTGTAACGAAACAGCAGGCTTGTTCCACCCGCTGGCTTGTAGACAAGTTTTGGGCAATTTTTAGACATTTTGCCAGGGCACCCCTGAAGAAACCTCAAGGCACCCCAGGGTTCCTGGGCACCCTGGTTGAGAAAGGCTGGTCTAGTTAAAGACTGGGGAAGAACAAGGCCTGTAAATGTTACCTACCTGCAGCAAAGAAAAATCAGGTCTCCTGCCATTCCAGACAGGGCTATGCTGTGTGACAGAGCTGTGTAATCTGAAGACTGGATGGACACATTTTTATGGCAGGTAAAATGACTCCCTTATAGGTGATTCATCTTTGTTTTTAGATGTTTGCCTAAAGTTCAGTGTTAACAGCAGTAGAGAAAAGTCAGGTCTCAAGACTGGCTGTGCTGGCTTTAAAGCAGGTGCAATGACTGCATGGACCTACTCCTGCTCGTATGTCAGGTTGTGACATGTGGCTACACGTGACTGATCTGTGCAGCCACTGTCCCTGCATCTGCCTCTATATGCTGCCCGCATGCAGCCTGGGGAAAATGCAGACGCAAAAACCAAGGGAACTCGCACACTTGATGAGCCTCCATGCCTATCTGAAGGTTGCAATAATGATTAGGTGATCTGGTCATTTGTGTTCGCTGCTTAAGTATCAATTGTTCACACAAGCAAACGCAAGGTCATTTAAATGTTTAGCGACTGTGAAGATAGTGGCAGTCATGTCTATTTGTGTCCTCGACAACCTAACTTCATTTTATCTCAATATTACACTAACCATTTATCCAATCCATTTTTTTTGTCTGCACACATCATAATGTAGCATCAAAAGGGAACAAAGCTCTTTAACCACTAGCCTACGGGACACTTTTACCCCCTTCCTGCCCAGGCCAATTCTCAGCTTTCAGTGCTGTCGCACTTTGAATGACAATTGCACAGTCATGCAACACTGTACCCATATAAAATTTTTATCATTTTTTTGAGACAGATAGAGCTTTCTTTTGGTGGTATTTAATCACCTCTGGTTTTTTTTTGTTTTTTGGGTTTATTTACAAACCAAAAACTACTGAAAATTTTGAAAAAAAAAGTTTTTTCTTAATTTGTTATAAAATTTTGTAAATGAGTGTAGCACTGCCCATTGGGACAAGCTGGAATATATTATGGGTCCTGCGCTCAATAGATCCAACCCTAAGCAAACCCAATCCCTCTGGCACAACTGGTAATGAATAGCAAATACCCCGCCAAGAAATTTGCTGACACAGGGTTAAATAAAACAAGAACAATTTTATGGAGAATGAAATGCAGTGTAGAGGGGTGGGGTTCCCCTTTCAACTTCCAAACTTACTTTTCTTCTTTTATGCAATGCAGTAAATTTGGTCTGCCACTAGAGGGCTTCACAGCCAAGAGTCTCCAGATGGCAGAGTTGCACTTTAAGCAGAATACAACTGATATCAAACAAATAAACTTACTTATACTCTATCAATGAAATGTATTACCCACACCGGTGTATGATTCTGCTTCTGAGGGGCGTTAGCCAAAAATCACCTCAGAGTCAGAACAGGATGCAATAAAGAGGTACCTCTAATAAAGCTACTAAGCCAGATTCCCCCACTTCAGTCCTTGTAACGGTGGAGCTCTAGTTGGTGCACGTTTAGTCCTTACAATGAAGTAAATAGCAGCTGAAGGCTTCTTTGTAGTTTCAGCTGGTGTGGGTTACATCCGATTTCATTAGGTTTCTGGGCTGAGAGGGTCCAACTTCAGTGTCTAAAGGCAACACAAAGCACCCCAAGACCTGGGCAGTCGCAGGATGCAATCTCCCAGTATGTGTCAGTCCCCGGGGCAGACAGTCTCAATTACACTGGTGGTGAGGGGCAAAGCAGGCAGGGGAATCTGTGGCTTGCACAGGGCCCCGGAAGGGTGAGATCCCAGCAGTGGGGTGCGGATGTCCCAGTCTATATGCAAAGTGTAAATGGTGTGTCTTACTCTCTCCAGGGGGACAGCTCACCAGACTCTGAACACACAGCAGGGTCCCTGAGTGCTGTAGTGCCTCCTCCTCTGCTTGGACGGGCTCCACGTGTCCCTGTCTTTTCTCCAGCCTCGTGTCTCTCTGTTCTCCCCTTCACTTCCTGCTCCCTCCCCTTCCCTGCATTCTTTGCTGTGTAGTGGATGAGTCATCAACTTGGCAGAATACCCAGGTTTTACAAATAGGGGAGAGAGAGGAAGGACTGACTGCTCAACATGTGATTCCTTCTGAATCCTCTTGTACAAGGAGCCTGCTACATGAGTAATTTTTCGCCTTCACTGATGTGCACTAATGAGGCTTCAGTGATGGGCACTGATAGGCTGCACTGATGGGCACTGATAGGCGGCACTGATGGACACTGATGAGGAGGCACTGGTAGGTGGCACTGATGGGCATTGATAGGCATCACTGGTGGACATTGACAGACATCACTGATGGGCACTGAAAGGCAGTACTCATATATGGCACTGATAGGCAGCACTGACTGGCACTGTTAGGCGGCACTGACTGGAACTGTTAGGCGGCACTGACGGGCACTGATAGGCGGCACTGACAGGCACTGATAGGTGGCACTGACTGGCACTTATAGGTGGCACTGACTGGCACTGATAGTTGGCACTAAATGGCAGCTCAGATGGGCACTGATATGTGGAATTGGTGTGCACTGGTAGGCAATGATATGTGACATTGATATACACTGATGGGCACTGACAGGTGGCATTGATATGCACTGACAGGTGGCACTGATGAGGCTACACTGATCATCAGGGCACTGATCATCAGTGCCTTAATGATCAGTGTAGATGTCCCCTCTGAGGAATGCCGATTACAGGCTCTCCTCTCCTCATGAGCTGCCTGCATGACAGCTCGTTAGGAGAGGAATGCGGATAACCGGCATTTCCTTATTTACATGTGATCAGCTGTGATTGGACACAGCTGATCACGTGACTGAGCCTAAGTCATCGGCTCTTTGCGCTGATTGCTGATCTGCTGTGTCCCAGGGTGTGGTTGGAGTGGGAGGACGTCATATGACATCCTCTCAGAACGAGGATACTGCCGTTCTCCCGTCATTTCCTTATGTGGCGGGTGGGAGGCAGTTAAAGTAAAACGTATGCATTTAAAATGTATAGCCCAAATTTTTTTCTTTTAGTTTTGGATATAAAAGGGAAGTGTTAAAACCCCTGTTATGTCTTTGTTATCTGTGCCTGTAAAGGGGTCTTCTTCTTGTATAGGACAACAACCCCCTGCTATAGCTCAAAGCCTCCGCCATATTGTGCTCACACCTTGCCATAGGCCTCCTCGAAACATCCCTGGGCATTAGCATTTATATCCATTGCAAAGGATGTCCACGTAAGAAATATATTTTCTGCTTTTTACTGATGTTCTTCAAAGATGGCAGTGACACCTCACATCCACATACTGACATGAGTCTTTGGCATTCACCGCCATACACAAAAGTGGACAAGTTGTAGCAGTCATTTTTGAAAGCCAAACATTGCACATCACTCAAGTCATCTTCCCTTGGCATCCCCTCTCTCCTCTCCTTGGGAGCACCACAGTGTTGGGACCTATCTCCCTGTTTACTAGTTCTGTAGCATTCTGCTAGATTTAAACTGTCACAAGGTGAAGCATTCTACTCTGTCAGCTGAGAATAACAAGGCAACTTCTGTAGTATACAGTCTCTCTTTCTACATTTCACTCTATAGCTCTACCCAGCCAGGTATGTTCCCAGATGTCGCTATCAGTCCCAGGGAATAAGTGCTCACGTCAGAGATCACTTAGCCTGGCCTAAAAAGCCTTTTGGATACCATTCCAAGGCCTCATAGACTATGTTTTCAGTTGGGATGACTACAGCTGGCCCTTCTGGGTGTTAGACTATCTCATCCAGGCTTTCTGCCCTATGCAGGACCTTTACAGTAGCTGATTACATCTGCATGGATGTGGGGTGTTTGGCTTCCATGGCCTGTCCTATCCTGGCATTTATATGGGCACTAGCTCTACCCATTACATCACTACAGGGGGGCTTTGTTTAAAAGGGGACCCAATTATATAATTCCATTCAATTTTGGGATAGAGACACCTAGTGGCAGACTAGTTAACTGCACTTGCTTACATGCCCCTTCTAGAGAGATTTTTCCTTCCTATTTGATCTGGTGATTATTATCCCAAATGCAGAAAGTTATAGGATATCCAAAATTTTACATCACAGTAACAGAAGGTTTCTCCTTCACCACTTTGCACTTGCCACCTATTTAGCATGGCATTTAACTACATTGATTTGATCTAAAAAAAAAAAAGCACCATTAGATATTGTTGCTCTAAAATAATCCTGTCTAGACTTACTTAAAACAAATATTGTGTATATTGCAGTATATATCATCCTAATTCCAAATTTCTACACCCAAAAAACACAATGAGCCTCTGGAGAGGTCAATGATTTAGCTGCATGAATTTAGACTAATTTATTGAGTTCCCTCACTATCCAAATCCTCCTGGTGAATGTCAATTTGTGAATGCATAATGAAACATACAGTAGTATTTTCCACTGCCTTGACATACAATATCTAATGACAGTATTTTTATGAACCATATTCAACTGCTTATGCATTATGCATATTAAATGGTTTCTTATCACCTGATAATTAATTCATGTTCAATGATTAACAGATAGGTATCTGTGATAAATAGATAGATAGATAGATAGATAGATAGATAGATAGATAGATAGATATGTAGATTTATTAATATGTGCACACTAGACTATAGAGGTATTCAAGAAAAAAAGGTTTTCACTTTTTCAAGAGAAGTTGTACAAAAAAATTTTACCAAGAGTTTAGTGAAGTTTTGCAAAGAATACTTAATCACACACGCAAGGAAAAAAAAAAATAAACACAGCAATTGTACTTGTACATGATTAGATGATGGATGGAAGTCAGCAGAACTTTACTTCATTTACAAAGTTCTAGGGAAAATTCCCTTGCAAAGTGCAACTACCATGCAAAGTGCAAAGCCTATTTGCCTTTAGTGAGTCAAGTAGATAGATAGACAGACAGATAGATTTATCATTGTATGCATATTAGACAGATAATGTTAGCTAGTGGCAGCACAATGACTTAGTGGCTAGCACTTCTACCTTGCAGCACTGACGTCCTTTGTTTGAATTCCAGCCAGGACACTATCTGCATGGAGTTTGCATGTTCTCCTTGTGTTCATGTGGGTTTCCTCTTGGTACTCCAGTTTTCTCCTGCACCCCAAAGACATGCTGGTCGGTTTATTGACCCTACTATGTGTATGTATGCATGTGAGACAGGGATTAAATTGTAAGCTCCTTGAGGGCATGGACTGTTGTAACATACTGTGTAAATTGTTGGTGCTATACAAATGCCTGTAATAGATAGATTTACTAATATACGCATGATAGATCTGGATTCCTTGTACACGCACTACAGCAGGGAGTGAGCTATGAGTAGGCATTTATATTAATTATTCCCCCTGAGATCAGTGACATTGAATGAAAAGAAGTGCAGCATTAACACGTACAAGAAAAAAAATTGGACCATTTAGCAAGCCCCCTTTGCTTGTGTTTTCTACAGAGAATATGACGGGTTAAAAGTTTTGTCTGTGACAATGAAATTGAGGCCAGCTGTAGGTCATATTCACGTCCCAGTCACAGGAAAATGAACCTGTGAGACAGAACCTAATTATCTGCTAAACCAAAAGCCAGTCTCAGTTCAATAACTTACGACAGAGCTGGCAGACAGATATAGTGTTGCCATGGAAACCTTCGACTGCAGACAGGAACAAGAAGTCAAACGAGACTGTAACCCTAAGTGTGCCGAAACCGTTTCTTTGTCACCGCACTACGATACCAAGTAATATTCCTTTTTCTATCTTCTATAACATATCCAAAAAAGAATTTCCCAAAATTACACAGCCGCCGGCGGATTGCTGCAGTCTTTGTACCAAAATAGGTTTTTAGCAGATGATAAAACCCGAATGTAAAATGCTTGCCCAAACAAGTACTGTTCCTGCAGATACAATGCTGTAGAGATTACAAATGTCGGCCATTTTGCACCCATAAGCCATTTTATTTTCCTTTTATTGTCCCAGCGCAAATGTTCATTATTGCTGCTTTGTTGCTTTCAGGCAATAGCAAATGACTATTTATTTTATTCTTTTGTGAATATCACCAAATTCTTGTTAGGGAAGGGAAATGTAGCACATAAATGACACCTTCACTTTATGAACATTGAACAGGACCCCCACAGGCAATCGGGAGAGAAACTGATAATGAATGGTAGAAAGCAGAAAGTAATGGAAGAGAAAAATACTACTGTTATAAGCTAGCTAGCTTTATATGAACTTTTACACCAGGCTACCCATTAATACATAGACTTTATTTATACCCTTGTAACATATAAAGAAATGTAAATGTTATACGAGGACTGTTACTTTAAGTGAAGTGAGGTCATGTCAGTTTACAGCAAGACTGAGGAGCTAGTAGATAAACATTCCCTACCGTTCAATAAAGGATTCGCCCTCTGCTGACGACTTTAAAGTGCACCTACTTTGCTAAAAATATAATACTGTGAGGGAGGAGGTTAGGAGATGCAGTCATTGTACTGGGTTCTTTTTTTTTTAGAAATCAAGGTTTTATTACATTTGACAATAGTCAACATTAAGACATACTCTAATCAAGTGCCCCTCCATTCTGCTTACCCTAGCAGTTCTTTCTTGATAAGCTTGTGAAGATTAGTTAATACATACCCAACTTCCATTCCATATACAATCTGGTCAAAGGTTTTTTGGACACCCAAACATCACACCTACCTATATAGCCAAATGTATGTGAACATTGAGTTCAGATGTTTCCAGTGACAGTTAAAGTTAATACCATAGTATACAAAGACATTTTAGACAATTATATGCTTCCAACCTTTTAGCAACAGTTTGACCAGCTTCGTGTGGAGGAAATTGAGTGGCCTGCACAGAGCCCTGACCCCTACTGAAGACCTTTAGGTTGAATTGGAATGCCAGTTATGAGCCAGATCTTCTCATTCCATATCGGTACTTGACCTCACAAGTGCTCTTTTGGCGGAATGGGCACACATTCCCACAGACACACTCCAAAATCTTGTGGAAAGCCTTCCCAGAAGAGTGGAAAGGGAGGGCCAGATACGTGAGAGGCTTTCATACCAGAGAATGGAAGCAGACATGTAATTCAGCACTAATCTTTTTTTTTAATACTACACCAAGTAACAGTCCAGACTTTCTACATTCTCAAGCCTTAATATAGGGGTCTTTGGAAACTGTTGCTTATTTTTCTTATTGGATATGAAGATAAACTTTATCTGTCCCTGTGGACCTTTCTGCTATTAGCTGATGTAGGTTAACATTAGCATGCCCTATTGGTTGTATTCTATTATAGTAGTGTAGTGCCTGCATTCCAATAATACTACAATAGATAGCATTGTCAGAAACAGTAGAGAACCTGTCTGAGTAGCAAAACTATCTGTGTTATTATGTTAAATACATGTTTAGACATGGTAACTCTGTCACAATAAATTAACAGCTTGCTACCTATTACATTTAAAAGCTTGGTGTACCCCAAAAAGTGCTATTTATTATTAGGTGTAGCTTGGTGGGCTGAGTCAGCCCCTGGCTTTTTATGTGTTTTGGATACTTGGATGTCCTGCCCATTTTTCCAGCAGCTTTGTACATTCTCTATATAAAATGAATAATTAAATCCTACAAGGAGGATGGAATCCATTCATACAGACCACAGTAAGTGAGAAGACTTACAGTAGAAGCTCAGAAGCAGATATCTCACCAACAAAGTCTCTGAGCAACAAACTGTCATAAAGTCTAACTCTCCGGTATCTACCAAAAATTCAAATATCATTTGTGGGTGGTTTGTAACTCCAATAAAAAAATCAATTACCATAGTTCTGGTACTGGCAGCAATAAACACTATGGGGTTGATTTACTAAAGCTGGAG